TTGCTATGTTGTGGAATACTCCATACTTGGGAATACTAGTCTCAAACTACTGGGCTCAAGCGATCGTCCTGCCTTCGCCCCCGAAGTGCTGGGATTATAGGCATGAGCCAGGCCTAGATTATGGGAATTTCCTACTAGAGGGACTTAACAGTGCTGGCTGTGAATAAGGTTGAAGGAGTTGGGTGCACAGAGCTGGGATTCACATGCCTGGCTGTAAAGGAGTGCAATCCAACAAACAGGAAGGGGTCAGGCACTTGTCATTATTTCCAAAATTCTAGTGAGGGCAGGCATCACATTGTCTCTCTGGAGGTGGGTCTACTCCTGTCTCTAGGCCTAACAGGGTGCACACAAATGCAGGTGGCGCACCATTGTCTGAGGTTTTGTGCTCACCCAGGAAGCCCAAGCCCACTACCTATGAGCGCGTGTGCTGTGCCAAGCCTCTATGTTGCCTCCCCACAGCCCTTTGGCACCCAGCAGCATAACCAAAAGGGCAGAGGGAGGAGCTGAACGTGACGGCAACATGTGTGGGGGGGGTCATCTGTGTGGGTGCCAAAGTCCAAAAAAAAAAAACAACCTCCAAGGGGGAATGGCAAATCGATGGACTCAGCACAAAGTTCAAACTGGATTTCTGCCTGGAACCAGAGATCATACTCACTCCCTGCTGTCAACCCCCACCAAGGGTGCTCTGACCCATCCCCCTCCTTGCCAATGACAGCTTGACACAGGCAGGAAGTGGAAGCCTGGTGGCCCTGGCATTCGCGGCACCTAGCTCTGGCTAGACAGGGCTTCTGGTGAACTCACTTTCTTCACTTCCACCAAACCAGTCAATCCTCTCTAGCTCCGCCTTCTACCTTAATTCTGAACTGTGACCTTTCTCTGTCCACGAGGGATCCTCCTAGTCCCACCGGCACCCCTGCCACACACTGCCACCCAGTAGGCTGCCGGTGCAAGCTTAAGGAGCTCTGGTAGGCCCAGCCCCTGCCCTCAGAGTCTGCACCCACTTCTCTCTCTGGGGACAGGAGACTCCGCTCAACTCCTGTGTGGCCAGCTGCCCCTTCCGCAGCAGGTCCACACCGGGATGGTTTGGGGAAACACCAAACAAGGGCAAGAAGCAACCAGCTTGCTTTCGGGCACTAGAGTGAGCGTGACACAGCCAGGGCAAGACCACCTGCTCGGTCAGCTTCCCTGGCCGCTGCATGGCCACGTGGGGGGACTCTCTCGCGCCCCTCCCCCAGCCATCTTTCGCCTTCAAGATCCTCCCTCACGCTCCCTGATACTAGCTAGCGCTTACTCCTCACATTCCAGAGGATCGTAAATCCCGGGTGGCAGAACCTCCCCCCCAGACGCCTCTACGCCTCCTCCCTGCCCCCACACCACCCACACCCATGCCCCCACACCACCCACACCCATCGCCCCCAGACGGCGGGGCTTCCTCTCCTTTTCTTAGAAGTCACCCTGGACGTCAGAAGCACGAAGTCCAGCCGGGCTTAAGTGAATGGCACATACGGGCTGCGGGGCAGGGGCAGGTGCTGGGAGAACCTCCCCACGCCGGGGCTCGGCGCCGACAGGGAACTGCTGCTCCTCTAGTGTTCGGAAGTGGGGGTCGCGGACGCAGCTGGCACCTCTGGGGCGGAGAGGCCCTCCTCCCGGCCCAGCTGCCGGCCGGAGGGACCGCGAAGAGGGCCCCGGGGAGGGCCGGGATCGGGGGCTTCCGAGCAACGGGAGCAGACGCCAACAGGCCCAAGGAGAAGGGGCCCGGGCTCCC